ACACCTTTAACCCTTATATTGTGTTAGGGTCAAAATTGACCCGTTTTCAAGTTTAGGTATGTAAAAACTGCCATTTGCTTTTTTGTACCGGAATGAGGCTTCATCTAATCCTCAGACACAACTATTTTAACGCAACAAAATCAATTTTCACCATCTGTGGTGTTACGGGTCAAAAATGACCCGGCAGAGAATAGTGGCTGTTTTATGCATCACTTACAAGCTGTAGGCTGCTCTGTGGATCAAATATGGCTCAGTGTGTCCCACAACACACACACACACACACACACACACACACACCACACACACACACACACACACACAAAGGTCGTCTTCACCCACGTGAACTCTTCTCTTTCTTGCAGCACATTGATACATTTTGAATCTAAAATAAACATTGTCATATATAAACAGGGTTTTACTGAGATATTATCAGCTGTATTCTGTTGCAGCATCAGTCAACATGAGCAGGTTCACTGTTTATGAGGCGCTGGATCAGATTTTTGGTCATGACAGTGATTCTGAAGACAGAGAGGAAAGTGAAGCTGAGGAAGATGTATCTGAGGATGAGGATGAGGACACAGACTGAATAAAAGAAGTGGACTAAGTGAGTGTGACGTCACCCACAGCGTTTGGCGCCGCTCAAATGAAGCTCACGGTTACAGGAGCGAATCTAGAGCCAGGTTATATGTTATGAATAGGATTTTTTGGACGGACAAAACAGCCAAAAATAAAAATAAAAAATCAGGATCATGTGTCGCAGGTTAATACGTATATTTTAAGACCAAAATGACGAGGTTCACAGCAGCAGGTACAGAGAGAAGGACGACAAGATCCTAACATAAGTCAATTGGAGCCAGAGTCAGAAGGAGCCGGAAGAGCCTCCTGGAGAACTTTCTATTTGGAACGCGGTGGCTACAGCGTTAGTTATGTCCATTCATATATACGTCTGTGGATGAGGATGAGGTTCAGTATGACCCTGAACAAGAGCACACATGTGGTGAGGAGAACCCAGATGTCACAAAGACTGAAAGAGACGTCTTCAAGTCAAGAAAAAGTGACAGTTCATGGTCACCAAGCCTCTTGACACCCAATATAATCATACTTATATAAATTAGATTTATATTATATATGTATTATATATAAAAATTATTATGATTATAGTATAATTATATAATATAATTACAAATTTTATCACTATAGGAAATATAATTAGTGAATTTAAACAGTTTTTGTAATCAAAAACGAGTGGTATATTTTAAGATAAAAGGTCTGTGCAGCCAAAAAAAAATAAAAAAAATAAAAACGTTTCCATGGACATGAACACATACTAAGTTAGTTATGAGGGGAAAAACAATATTGGATGATATCTAGTGTTTTTAAGTATTTTCAGGTTAAATCACGGGTCAAATTTGACCCGGTAACACTAAAGACGCGTGTAGCTTTCTAACACAATACAAGGGTTAAACTTTGCGTCACTCCCAATTATGATAAAGCAAATTACACAACTACATCATACAGCTACTTAAACCGAGCCATGTAATTATTTGTTTGTTTATTTATTGCGTTATGTGAAGTGAATTCCCTAATTGGCGTTCGTGTTGTTCTAATTGGATGATTTCTAGCGACCGCTCATGTCAGAAGTCCTTGGTGACGTTTGACAGCTGTATTGTTGCATTGTTGATTGCCTAAGCAGCTCATTTTAATAGATAAATGAATTGTGTACACTGTGGTAATGTGGCTGAGGGATGCTGGAAGGAAGCCATTAAGAAGCCAGAGGAGCCGCCATATGTTACCCTGGGTTTTGTATTGTCTGTGTCTGCTTGTTAATATTCTTCAGAGGTGGAAGAAGTCGCCCAAATATATTCCAGAGCGTTGTTTTACTCTACAAGTACACAAGTAAGTCAAGTGGGACAAAGTTTATTGATCCACAAGGGAAATCGCTTGGAGACAGTAGCTTGCACTTTACAATATAATAATAAAAATACATAGACTTTGAATATAAATGGAAATAGTCAACCTGCTAACTGACACGCTGCACATAGGAAGTGAGCATGGGGGCGCTTCCGGCTCCGTCGACTCCAGCTGCGGTTGACTTTGTATTGAAAAGACGTCACACCTTTCTCTATGACTGCTGCAGTGAGCATTTTTTGTCGTTTTAGTTTTCAAATGTTGGTATTGTGGGCTTCTACCCTGTGTTTTTAAAGTTTCATTCATATGTTAATACGCCCTGTAATTTGCCCCGTTACATGCTGTGTATGTTTTTGGACTTTGGAGGGTCAATGGTGAATGTATATGGGACAGATAAGGAGTGTATCTCCAACCTTTAGCATCTGCCAGTCTGTTATGGGACACGTGTTGGGACAAAGTGCTGTGTATGTTTCCATGAAGATGTTAACTCAACAGTTATGCTGGTATAAAAGGCATCCAGTGTTTCTGTGCATCAGTGGGGGAAACGCCGACCGCGTTGTCGAGGGACGACCGACGCACAGAGAGACGCCGCGTAGGCAAAATCATGCTGAATCAACTTGAATCTTGAGACCTGAATCTGCCTGACTCAAATAAAGAGACCTTTTCTAACTCTCCAAGTCTCTTTCTTAAGATCCTCCGTTCAGGCTGCCTCCAGGAGAAGCAGTATTAACTAGAGGTCTGCATGGGACAGAATTTTCGGTCCCACTCCCGGCCGCGCCCACGTAGAATTGTAATTTTCATTCTCTCTCCCGCCCGTATATGCAATTTTTTGTCCCGCAAATCCAGCAAGATGGGGATGTTCAATTTCTTAAGCTTTATCGGTCAGAAAATGTGCGCACTTACACTCAAATTTAGTTTTTCGAGAGTGCAGTTTATCATCCCGCCCGCTCCCGCAATGAGCTTTCAAAATGTGTCCCGTGTCGCACTGTTTTATGTCAGGTCCCATGTGCTAGGCTCTGACCCGCTCTACGTGATCCTGGTGTTCCATGATGATATTTTGTCCCTAAATAAATTCTTAATCTGGAACTCTGCTCCCTATAACTCCTAGCCTCATGAGCTTCGTTTGACTGGAGCCGAACGCCACGCATTCTACGAGTTATGAGTGATAAAATGCATTATAATTAGATGCAGGCAACACACAGTCATCAGATTTTTATAATGTTGGTCTGTGCAATCCCTCAGTTCTCCATTTTCTGCAGTTTTCAAGCAAAACTACTCATCTTGGAAAACTTACCATGACTGTTATTAAATTGCTGAAATAAATTGTAAAAAAGTGTGAAAATGTTACTCAAGTGTTCAGTATAAATGAGAACACCCCCTTTGAAAAGTAACATTTTATACAATGTCAATGAACACAAAAAATATTAGTACAGTTTAATAAACCATCTGTTGAACTTAGGACAAAAAATTAAGGTTAATTATATAACTTACATAATTATCAGTTTTAGTCAAATTTGGGTGGTGCAAAAATGAGTACATCCCACAACAAAAACTGCTTCATCTAGTACTTTGTATGGCCTCAATTCAACTCTTCTATACAGAATGAACAAGTTGGCATCATTTGACGACATCAGTCTTTTTCTGTTCTTCTCTTTAAGAGACCGGATGTTGGGTGACGAGTGATGCTCAACTTATCTCTTCAGAATTCCCCAAAGATGTTCAATTGGTTTTAGATCAGGTGAAATACTTGATCATGGAATCACTTTCACCCTGTTACTCTTCAGAAAGCCAACAGTGGCCTCAGATGTATATCCAGGTTGGCGCCACCTAGTGCCTCCACTCAATTTCATTTCTCTCCAGCAACTAGGTCAGGAATCAGAATACACTAGACCAGGGGTGTCAAACTCATTTTGGTCCGGGGGCCGTATCCAACCTACTTTGATCCCAAAGGGGCCGGATCAGAAAACTCATGGCATATAAACCCCAAAAATAAGTTCAAATATTTAAATATTTGTGCGGAGAAACACAAATCTATTACACAAATCTTTTTTAATTGATGAACTCTTTCTTATTATAATATTATAATATTATGAACAACCTGAAACTTTAAGAAAAATTCAATTTCAACACAATGTTTTAACATGAACTTGTATGCAATTAGGAATAAGTCAATTTTTCTTGTAAAATCCTGCACTCGGCTTTCTGATGAGGGTGTCACGGTCAACAGTCAAAACGATCGTCCTTTAAGAGTGTTTGGAAACAGACAAGTCTTGTGGGAGGGGCCACGTACAGAGACGCTGGAGACGCTGCTGTGATAAACACCACAGAAAATTAACAAGATTTTAATAGAAAATTGAATTTAAATATTTTAGTAGAAAATCAGCCGAGGGCCAGATTAAAGGTCTTGGAGGGCCGGATCTGGCCCCCGGGCCTTATGTTTGACACCTGTGCACTAGACAGTTTGCAAGAACCCCGGAAGTGAGAGTTCGGGCACCAGCCAATCAGCGAACAGTCATACATTCTGTGTTGCCAACGATTCCCAAGATCAAGGATTTAAAACCGGAACAAAGAGTTTGGAGAATTTGATCAAGAGGAAACACGTTATCGCTCTTCTTCCTACGGGATTTGGCGCATTACATACGTCACAACCAAATAGCAGCGATTGGTTAAATTTTAAAAAAGTACCAGCCTACCGTCGAGCGAGGTCAGACGAAGTGAAACTGGCTGATGAATCAGGCTATGAAATGTATTAGGGTCATTATGATGATGTACGATGCACGACGACCACTGGCACGAAGTGATGGAAGCATTTTCGTTTTCAGTACAGAGCAATACATTTCTGAATTGATCATTTATGCTGAGCACTGTACTTGGAGGGAGGGGGCGGTGGGTTGAGCACTCAGGCTTTTACGTTGTGTTTGCTGATTAATATTCTGCGTATCTTTTCTGTGGGTTTGTGTGACTTTTGCGTCCATATTATTTGTTTGTTTGTCCTGCGGATTGTGTTTAGTATTCATAGTATTTGTTTGGGCTTCGTGTGGCTGTTTCATTGTGTTTTGTATTCATATTATCTCCGTACCTGTCTCTTGTAGATTGCCGTGAGATCCTGTTGCCGCTGATGACGGAGCAGCTCAAGTTCCACCTGGAGAAACGAGACGAGATGAAGAGAGAGGAGCTGAACGCCTGCTGCCAGCTGCTCAGCGACATCCTCCAAGTGCTCTACAGGAAGGACGTGGTAAGAGATTGCGCTGTTATCTCTCCGTAGTTTCGGGAATTGTTTTGTATATTTTTTGCCTTGTCAAGCTCAAGTTGCTTCTTTCTTTTAGAAGTGCTACTTGGGAAAAGTTTTGAACTGGTTTAAAGAGCTCATATTACGCTGTTTTCTGATTTGTTATAATGTCGTTTCCTCGTCACAAACGGACCTGGACTAGTGTTTTGTTTCATTCACATATGTTTAACACACAAACGTCACATATTTAGGCTGGGTTCTTCTCTCAAAACACCCCGTTCCACCTTGTGACGTCACGTAGCGATACAGGAACTGCTCTAATGTGTTTTTAAACTTTTCTAAACACCTTCACCAAAAACGTCTGACTGATTTCAGGCCTGGAATTAACAAACTCTACTGAACAAAAGTCTTTTCTGTAAACTTAAATTGAGGCAGATAATACAGACAAAGAAATCAATGCAAGAAATTGAAGAAGCGGTTAAAAATAAACTCCTAATTCTTCTGTAATTTTGAGTGTTTTGATAGATTTAATGTTAAAAATAGTGTTTAGTGTTAGAAGATAATTCTTAATGTCAAGGATATTTATTTTAAAAAGGGGTCTGGAGTTGGAGAATTTGGATTTATGTGTATGAAATTTAACCAATGGATTTCACAGGTTTACTAAATATTTTGTTTTTTGTCTTTTAATTATTATTTTTTATTAATGGGCTTGTACAGGTTTTTTACGTTGGGGAGACAATTTTGTCAAGATAAAATAAAACATTTTTCTACAAACACAGATTCATTCATTCATTCTACGTTACTTGACATCGAGACAAGTCATATAATTCCATTTTGTTTTTTTAATATAACAATGCGAGAGTCAACAAATACACAAAAGAACAAAAACAAAAGAGTGAGTGGAAACAAATTTTTAAAACCTTGTCTCCTCTCTTTACTTCCTTTCTGTGAGACAACTGATTCACACAAAGACAGAGCTCAAAACCACTTTGTATTGGATCCACTTTTGCCAAAACACATTAAAAAAACATCCTGTTGAAGTCTCAATGACATTGTAGTATCAAAAATATTTGATCAACAGTATTGTACAACTCCTCCTTTACTGGTACATCAGTTTGAAGCCATTTTCTTGTCAGTGTTTTCTTTGCTGATAATGAAATATTCAGTTTTATATTGTTTGTGATGGAAAAGTTAAAGGAGCTAAAGGGTTAACATGAAAACTACAGCTCATGACATCACAAGGTGGAACTAATAATAAAGAATTACCGTATTTTTCGCACTATAAGTCTCACTTTTTTTCATGGTTTGGGTGTTTCCTGCGAGTTACACTCCAGCGCGACTTATTTATTAAAATTTTCAGACTGACAGCTGCGAAAGGGCGCTCAAGGCTTGTGTGTCAGTTTTCTGAGCATGTCTCCTGCAGAAAAAGCCTCTGTCCTGCTGCAAGTAGTGAAATACGCAGCAGAAAACAGTAATCGAGCAGCAGAAAGAAAGTTTGGAGTGAGTGAGAAACTTGTGAGGGACTGGCAAAAATTAGGAATGGAGAACACAGCTTCACGGTAACTGGGAAGGTGCAACATGAAACTTTCCTGGAAGTCATTGGATCAAAAAGCCTGAACTTCAGTGACAACCAGTGTTGCACAGAGTTGCTCAGAAGTGACACTGAGGATGAATAAATCAAAGGATTCAGTGGATTTAGTGATTTGGAAAGAGATCGAGAGTTTGGTAAACTTATGTTCTGTTGTTTATGCAATAGTTACCTGAATAATTGTTACTATTACGTTAACATATTAACACCTATTCAGCCTGTTGTTCTTTATTCTGTTGTTATTACTAGAACTTGACTTTCAAGATAAAATGTCGGTTCCTGGTCCCTGATTTTATAAAATAATTTCCCCCAAAAAGTGCGACTTATACATGTTTTTTTCTTCTTCATTGCACAATTTTTGTCTTTTGCGACTTATACTCCAGAGTGACTTATAGTCCGAAAAATATGGTACTCAAACATGTGTGAATGAAACAAAACACAACTCCAGGTATGTTTTTGATGAGGAAACAACATTATAACTTAAAGCATGAAAGTCAAGGTCAAATTACTTCATTTAGTATTAGTAGTTTATTCAGTCATTTGCAGCATGATACACACAACAACCCCGTTTGAATCAAAGGGATTACGCCAAAGTAAACAATTCTTACTAGTTTAAAGCCGAACCTGATTGAACAATGAGAAGGTTGGTTGGAAAATGTGCAAATTGGTTTTAACTTTTGACAAAACACAATCCATCCCTTCTGTGCATCTCACAAGGGAAGAATAAAAAAGAAAAATATTTGTCACCCATCTTTCCTATAAATGAAAACAGCAAATTGTCAAGTCTGTTTCCCTCCGTCAGCGTGCACCAAATGAAAAATGTGATTGGGAGTGCTTTTGGTATCGTGAAATGTTCTGTGTAACAAAGACGTTTTATCAAAAGTCTTTAATGGATATGATAGCGACATGACCATAACAATCTGTCCCAGACACCAGATTTGGCAGAAGGAATGAAAGTAAAATGCAGTTTATTGTTCTGTCGGGGTAATTTGTCCTCTGCGTTTGACCCATCCATCTCCAGATCTCGAGTTATCTTTGGTCAGGACTACTTTAGCTGGAGGACTTTGACTTATTGTGCATGTTTTGAGTTATTGGGGAAATTTGAGTGTCCTGGAGAAAACCACCTAGACACAAGGAGACCATGCAAACTCAGCACATAAATGAACGAATCGTGATATCGTATCGTCAAAAGTCTCAGAATAATATCGTGGACTGTTACAATATATTGAATTACAAGTCACTTTACTTAAATTCATTGTTATGGTGCAGCAATAGCTAAAAAAACAGAGGGAACTACATAGACCATGATCCTTTGCTGTTGTCAGTGCAGACTTAACATTAATAACATTTTAAAATCTTAATTCTTCATATTACAACAGTATCATTATAACAGAATCAATGTTTTTTTGTAAAGAAGTAAGTAGCATATTCACAGTTTTGTTGGCCTCCACAAATATCGCAATAAATATCGTATTGTATCGTGAAATGCGTATCGTGAAAATATCGTATCGTGAGATTTGGGTATCGTTACATCCCTGTTGGTTACTCATTGTACTGCATTCTGTGGTTCATATGGTCAGACTCAGTACCCAATGTTCCTCTATTTCAGGGGTGTCAAACATACGGCCTGGGGGCCAGATCCGGCCCTCCAAGACCTTTAATCTGGCCCTCGGCTGATTTTCTACTAAAATAATTAATTATATTTTCTATTAAAATATTGTTAATTTTCTGTACTTAACATAGCAGCGTCTCCAGCGTCTCTGTACGTGGCCCCTCCCACCAGAGCAGCACAAATGAAGACTTGTCTCTTCCCAGACGCTCTTAAAGGACGATCGTTTTGACTGTTGACCGTGACACCCTCATCAGAAAAATGTCAAAAATGAGAAAAGTGGAGCCGAGTGCAGGATTTTCCAACAAAAATGGACTTATTCCTGTTTGCATACAAGTTAATGTTAGAACATTGTGTTGAAATTGTATTTTTCTTAAAGTTTCAGGTTGTTCATAATATTATAATATTTTGTAAAAGAGTTCATTAATAAAAAATAATAATCTGCAATAGATTTGTGTTTCTCTGCACAAATATTTGAACTTATTGCTATTTCTGGGATATATATGACATGAGTTTTCTGATCCGGCCCCTTTGGGATCAAAGTAGGTTGGATACGGCCTCCGGACTAAAATGAGTTTGACACACCTGCTCTATTTAAACAGTGACTGCGGTTACATGTCCACACCAAAATCTGATTATATTGTGATTTCTGGACCGTTAAGATGATTTGTGTTTTCTGCTGCTCCTCTGCAATGAAACAAGTTGCCGTTAGAGATTAGACGGGTGAAATCTGTTTTTGTTTTTAAATCACTCCTAAAAACACACCTTTTTTCACTGGCTTTTTAACAAGTGAGTTGTACATTTTTTGTTGTTGAGTATTTTATTATTTTTTTTTTAAATATTTTTTAGTAGTGGTTTTGTGTTTGTATTGTGTTTTGTGTTGTACTGTGATTGTCCTTGTCTATGTTGTGTTTGTGTACAGCAGTTTGTCCAGCTGTAAAGTTTTTTAAGTGCGTTATAAATCAAGTTGGTATTTAAATGACATGAAAATCATAAAATTAGAAGAGTGAGTAAGCGGAGAGACCATGATCAGGAACAAACTCGATAATTTTGCAGTTTACATGTCACTTTATTCATCTTTATTCATCAGTTCGTAGAGCAGATCCGAAGTTTGGTTGTTCGATTCCCGCTCTCACGCGTAAAACATCGTTGGTTGAGCGTTTAGACCCACTGACCCACAGATTGGCGGTGCGATTTTAGCTCCCACGGATGAGTGCTGTCGTCGTGTCCTTGGGCAAGACACTTAACCCACCTCACCCCCAGTGTCTGCGCACACTGATATATGAATGTGAGTGTGAATGGTCGATTGGTTCCGTGTTGTAAAGCGCTTTGAGAGCCTTGAAGGTGGGAAAGCGCTGCGTAAAATGTGACCATGACCATTTACCGATGCCACTGGGGCGACCTGTCAGGAGCAGGTGACCTATTTCTTGAGCTAGTCTTGGTAAGGACTACTTTAGCTGGAGGATTTGATGGATTGCGCGTGTCAGGCTTAGTACCCCATGTTTCTCTGTATCAGTATCTGTGGTTACATACACACAAAAAACCTGATTATAATTTGATTTCTGGACTTTTAATATTATTTAAATGACATGCAAACCACAAAATTTGATGTGAGTGATGTGAGAGGGACCACGATCACAAAGAAATGAGGTAACTTTGTTGTTTACATGTCATTTTCTTCATCTTATAATCTGACAATAAGTAGATTTTGATTGGGCGTCTAACCACAGTGATTGTTAACTGTTTAATCGAAGTAAATAAAGCAGTGTAATGTTATAACGTGGTTCAGTTGCAACCAAATGAAGCTCA